GTTGGCATACAGTCGAAGATAACATGTTGCCAGATCATTTTATAAACTCTCATATTTTATTTTATTTGAAGTCTTATATGCAAAGTTTACACATGTTTTATGATATGTAACTGAGAGATAAACTTTTATCATTTGAATATGTAACTTGCGCATTTCTTGCTTATAAAAAGTAATAGAGAAATTATCAGAATTAAACACTTATCGAGACAGAAAATCGAGGATATCTCCCACATTTTCATCATATTAAAAATAGTGCACAATACCGCTTATCTTCGTAAATGAGGTTAACTGTCTTGACAAATTTAACAAATCAGACAGTTTCTGTTTATTAAATTTTGAAGCATGCAAGCTTGTTAGTGTTTCAGTCAATTTTTAAGTTACAAAAAAAAGAATGTCGGACTCCAACTATTTTTCAATTTTCAATTTCAATTGTAAGATAAGCACTTTATTCTAAAATTATCACTAACATAAAATTGCACTTGGTTTATTGTAAGATAAGCACTTCATTCTAAGATTATCACTATTACTAATACTTTTGTCGGACACAAAAACTGAGTTGATACTTGTGACGTCAGAATACAACTGTCCTGAAAGTGTACAAATTCTACGTTGCCATCTATTGTACTGCAAGAATCTATTTGGGTAAAACCATTTTCTGTGCAAAAATATCCATCACACATAAAATTGGTATGCCACAGTTTTATGATTAAAGACGACATAGCAATCTTTTCATTTTATATATTCATTGACACTCCATCTTGAAACTCTTAAAAAAGCCTTAAGGGTACCATTGGGAATCGGGCATTGCTATCTTTGAATTGAGATTTCCTTAAATTTATGCTTTACAGTCCCTCAAGGGAACCGTTGTAAATCGAGTATATGCCATCTTTTTGTGGACGGCGGAGAGTATATTCCACTTTTTGTATACGGCGGAGAGTATATGCCATCTTTTTGAAGACGGCGGAGAGTATATGCCATCTTTTTGTAGACGGCGGAGGTTCACTTGAACTTATGTTTACAGTCCCTTTAAGGTTTTAATCTCTTTCAGATTTGATATGACAAAACCGGTTCTTGGATATTGGGATATTAGGTGAATTCCCCTGGATTTTAAGCATTTACAATATTCCAATATCTCTCTATTAACATTTAAATATCTATATTTGGTTAGCTGAATTTAATATAGAGATTTTTTTCATATTTGACTTACAGTGAGGCCCAAAAAAGTTTTGTAATTCTAACCAAGAGGAGAATCGAAAGATACAAAAATACACAACTATTCTGAGAGGCTTTTTTAGGGATTTGAAGTTTTTTAAAACCCCAATAGTGCCGTTTTCGGTCCCTCTGTATAGCTTAAAAGCGAAAATATCCATAAGAAAATCTGGTAAATAGAAAATATCCATAAGAAAACNTAATGAGTAAACCTGATTGGTTGGCTCATAAAACTACTCTTGGTTTTGATTTCCCCAACCTACCTTTCTATGAGGTAAATGGATTTAAAAAGATCTGAGGCCGGATTTAATAAATAGAATGAATTGGTTGAACCCAAGGTTATAATGCAAGGAAAGTTATTTCACAGGTGTACGCATCTTGTGTACTGCAGTGTATTGTCTCTGGGCGGTAATGTCAACACAAGGACGGATGACATGGGATCCATCTTTCACATAAAAAATCAATGAAATATTCTGGTCATAGGAAACTACTATGTGAATTATAAAAATTATCAAAATTTAATGCTTTTATCCTCCTCGGATACTCAACGAACACTGATGGATCTATTTACAAATTCCGCCCCGAGAGAATTGGTTTCAATATGTACGCAGAGAATACGCAACTGCAATTAACTTTCCTTACATTATAACCTTGGTTGAATCCAGAACTTCGAAGAAATTGAAAGAATTTCTAAAGTGCTGTCTGGGTAATTTTTAATACAGTGAAACCCTTAATACAAATACATCGGAAGAATTTATCAAATGTCGTCTTGACAATTTTTCAAATGGTTTTATAGTATTTTACGTAAATCTCAGTATTTGCCAAAATAAATAAATAGCCATGAATATGCGGGAACAGTTTTAAAGAGTGCCATTTAATCATTTAATTAAAAAACTAAATATCTGCAACATTCCATTATCAGAAAGTGAAGAACATTTGACAAATTCTTTCGATGTATTCGTTATTAAGGGTTTCACTGTATTAAACCTAATTCTCAGTAATAGTAAAAATAAGTAAATACCCTTGAAATATGCTGGAACTGTTTTTAAAAAAATTATTAAATAAAAACGAAATATCTGCAGCTATCTACTAGCATGAGGGATAGAAGACGACATTTTATAACTTCATTTGATGCCTCCGAAGTTTTAACTTCACATAATCTGAAATATTTTTATAACTTTTCCTAAAAAGATTTTTGAAATCCTAATTTTGTTTATAAAAGTTTAATTTAAGTACAGGGTGTCCCAAAAAGCATGGGAATTCAGTGACGAATTCGATAACGTCTTTGTTATGAATTAGCATTGTAATACCTCATTTCAAAAGCCATAATATAACTATCTCTGCTAGAGTTAATTTATGAAAACGGTAAATGGTTGTAAAGATGTGTCTATAATGTCTCCGGAAGATGAACAGTGAAGACGGACAAGTTTACTCTGTTTGTATACTGCAATTTTCTTGTTTTACTAAGTACAACCGTATGCAGTCAAAACATAAACAAACAAAATGTGAACAAAGCAGACATTTTTTAGAGCTTCACACTTTAGATATTCACACAAAATTATTGAAAAGTTAGGTTTTGGGACAAACCCCCATTCAATGTTGAGGATCAATTGCGAAATTCAAATTCATTTAAAGACAAAGGGAAGAACCCAAACACAATTGCATCAAGCCCTTTTTTCTAACCTCTATATCTTTCTAACATGATATTGAAATTAAATCTGACAAAAATTATAGATTGAAATATCAAAGGTCTGGTTGCAAAGATATAAGGATAAAAAATTAGAGTTTCAGACAAATTTTAGTTCCTTAGTTGAAAATTCAAAATGGCGGCTTCAGGTCGTAAGTTTGGTTTGGATGGTTCTACTGTACGCGCCAAGGCCGAGGTTGACATGGTTCTAGATGAAGCAGCTGATGTCAGAAATGTAATTTTTTATAGAAAGATAGATATACAGTTTCACCCAGAACTTCGGAACTACCGAAAGAAATTATTAAATGTCGTCTTGACAATATTTCAATGGGTTTTTATTTTATTACTAGCTTCGAAACCCAGCGCTGCCCAGGTTACTAACTTACTCATAGTCATAGTTACTCCCGCTGTTTACCCGCACTTGAGCGATTTTTACCTGGAAACTAGCTTTTCGCTATAAAAGTCGACCCACTCAACTTAAAATCTCAAAACCAGGCTAAGAACATTCCCGTGGGTCTTCCGAGTTCCCCAATCATATTTTCAGGCAAACCGGTCCAGGGTTTCCCGAGTTATGATTGGACAAACAAACACAGACAGACAAACAGAGATTACAACTTTATATATATAGATACCAAAATTTCGGTAACTGCAAAAATAAATAAATAGCCATTAAACAGTTTTAAGAGCTCCATATAATTATTCAATTAAAAAAATCAAATATCTGCATGGAATTCCATTTGTAAATAGGTTTAGAAGACGACATTTTATAATTTCTTTCGATATCTACGAAGTTCTGGTTTAAACAGTAAATAGATAAATAGATAGATTGATAATTTCTCAAGATTTTTTAACAAAAATAAAAGTTTTTGTTTTTGCTTATAGCTTTATTATATTTCAGCCGATGGTTGCTCTCTGTTACAGGTTATATATATCTTCATTATTTTAAATATCAAACAATTAATTAAATACATTTTTTAATTATTTTATCAAAAAAGGTCGGACTTTTCTCCAGCTTTGATGAAGGATTGGGTTGAAGGTAATTTATTCATCTCAAGTTATTTTTTAAAAAATCATATTAAAAAAAAAATTAATTGTGAAAATTATTTTAAACCTTAAAATTGCGATTTTCGGGAATAATCTGAAAATTGAAAAAGAATGATAAATTTAAAAAAATGTGTAAGGCTAATATAAAAATTTGCATACAGAAAATAATAGGTTTTTTGAGCATTACGTGCGTATTTTGGATTAAAACTTGGAGTCAATCCAAAATGATATGGGACGCTACGTATTTAATTTCATATCAATCAATTTATTATTTCGGTTTATTTAGAATAGTACTGTAGTCAAATTTTGTATAGATTCATTAAAAGCAAACTTGTGGAGAACATTTTTTTTATAAATTTCTTTTATGAAGAATAAATTTTTCTTATTTTTTTCCTTTTTTCTTTTTTCTTTTTTCTTTTCCTTTTTAAGAAAAACTCTAGGATCAGGAGAGGGAATGAAAAGTGTAGAGGACAGGTTTCTGCCTCTTCAATGCAAACTTGGTAAAAATAAAATTAATTGAAATTTATTAGTTTAGCAGTTTTCTAGAAATACTCAATTCTAAGGTGTTTTTAACAATAATTAGTTTTGAAACCATGAAATAAATTTGTTGGGTCCCACGAAACATGACAGTTGGCGAAGAGTTTAAAATGTCTTCTTCCATAGTTTGTTTAGTTGTTTGAACTTCAAGAGAATAATAAAAAATGTTCATGCCAGCCATACTGATTTTAAAGTAAAATATATTTGATTGAAATATTTTTAAAACTAAATAAACTGCAAGAAGTCTATAATATCTAATACAGTATATGGAAGAAGACATTCAAAACTATTCACAAACTGTCATGTTTCATGGGACACCCTGTATTATGAATCTTGATTTAATAAACAATGAACTGTAATCTATAATCTAATGACTGAATTTTAAACAATGAAATAATTCTAGGATCCAGGATGACTAGTTTTTTTGAACAATGAAATATAATTCTGAGTTCCAATGACTCGATTTTAATCAATGAAATATATTTCTAGGATCCAATGACTGGTTTGTGAACAATGAATTGACAATTGCGGATTTCATGATTTGGGAAATACTTGACACATACAGGTACATTATAAATTATAAAACTTAAGAATAGGAAGACGACTTTTCTGAGAATCAAATTTTAATAAACATGAAAACAAATAATTGAGCAGTGTACACAGACCTATTTTACTTTAAAAAGTTGATTTTCTAGCTACTGATAAAACTATTTGCGGTAAAACAAAATCTAATAGAAATAAGATTTTTTTTAAATGTCGTCTTCCTAATCCTTGGCTTGGAGTTGTACTTTACGCTCAGTTTACTGCCTTTTTACTCTAGTTTTCTGTTTATGATTAAGCCAGTCTCCTGTTTCTGTTTATTCTCCTGTTTATTGTTTACTCTAGTCTCCAGTTTATTGTTTACTCTAGTATCCTGTTTATTGTCTTCTCTAGTCTCCTGTTTATTGTTTACTTTAGTCTCCTGTTTATTTTTTGCTTTAGTCTCCTGTTTATTGTTTACTCTAGTCTCCTGTTTATTGTTTACTCTAGTCTCCTGTTTTATGCTTACTCTAGTCTCCTGTTTACTGTTTACTGTAGTCTTCGGTTTATTGTCTTCTCTAGTCTCCTGTTTATTGTTTACTTTAGTCTCCTGTTTCCTGGCTGTTTAACCAAGTTGACTGGCCTAACTAGCTTCCATTCTCGGTTTACTCAGCTGAAGGGGGTCAAGGAGTACCTGGGGTCAGACAGGTGGCAAATCATGAAAATTTAAAAATTATGAATGTTAAATGGAAAATGCTAAAAATATGAAAGCAAAAAACCTGAACACTCAAATTAAATTTTCTAATCCCATTATCTTTGAAAACTAATGGCTCAAATCAATGATTAATATTAGACTATTTGATCTAGCGGAATTCATAATTTGAAATTTCAAATGTCATTTCCGATTTTCAATAATATGTTGCACATTTTTGAGGATTAAAAAATTAGAGTTTGAGGGGAGTTATAAATTCCTACCGTCAATTAATACCAAGTCTTTATGATTATGACTAGTATGTAGTGTATATATATTTATAAAAGATCTTCCGGAAAGAAAAACAGCCGGCCTATTTTGTTAATTAAAAAATATTCATAAAAATATTAAGAGTTTGGTTTCATTTATTTCTCATTTCAGGTACAAGGCATACCCTATATGGAGTGAACGAGCCAAGCATGGATTTGTTGAACCTAAATAAAAAAATCATGCATCATGCATCAAGCATCAAGTATTGTGCATCAAGCATCAAGCATCAAGCATCATGCATCATGCATCAAGCATCATGCATCAAGCAAGACACTCAGCATGATGTCAACCTTGCATTGAAAAATAAATCTAAAGCTACATTTTATCTCTTATTACAAAGAAGGAGGCTAAATTTTACCAAGTTTTTAAGACTTACAAAATTTTCCTTTGACGAATATTAACTTTGCGAAAATCAAAGACAAATTGCAATGTCTAAATAATGTATACTGCATGAGACCCAGCGTGGAAATTACATCCATCAAATCTATATAATAAAACAAGACATTCGCCTATATATATGTTGCCTATTGCCGGCCAAACGGCTGGACCAAATTTGGGCTGAATTTTTTTGTGGACACTCATAGGTGGCCGGGAGGTTTTATAGGCTAAACATTTTTTTTCTTTAAACAATACATGTTTTTTGCAAAAAAATCTCCCACGGGCAACGCCGGGCCCTTCAGCTAGTTATACATATATCCATATATTATAGAGGACGTGAGTCAGACTCTAATAAAAACGCATAAATAACTTCCAGTATATATATTTCTTATAACTTATTACTAGAGGGTTCAGAACTAGAGTCAATATTGATATTGCACGTGTAGACTGTAGATGATGATATCAGTACTATGCCCCGTATCCGTTCTATCTCATTCTGTTGAATCTTGTGGAACTAGTTTAACGCGGCCAATATACATATATCCATATATTATAGAGGACTTGAGTCAGACTCTAATAAAAACGCATAAATAACTTCCAGTATATATATTTCTTATAACTTATTACTAGAGGGTTCAGAACTAGAGTCAATATTGATATCGCACGTGTAGACTGTAGATGATGGTATCAGTACTATGCCCCGTATCCGTTCTATCTCATTCTGTTGAATCTTGTGGAACTAGTTTAACGCGGCCAGGCATCGTCTTCCACAATACCCATATTCATAACTATTATTTGGTGATTAAATTTTTAAACATCTCTCATGTTTTCTTATTTATATAAAAAATTACCCCAAACTCTAAAAAGCAAATCCAGTTTAATACAATTTAATCTAGAATTATTTTTTATACGTTTATTCTCACAAAAATTTATACTTGAAATTATCAAAAAAGTTGAGAATACAAAAATTGATTAGTCAATATCACACTTTTAATACAATAAATAGACATTAAATATTTACATACAGTGAGAACCAGAAAAATGATAAATTAGGGAAACACTATATTAGCAAATTTCTTAGTGTATTTAACGCTGTTAAAACCAAAAGGTTTAATCAGTAGCTTTAAACTTGTTAAATTAAATTGTCTATGTACAGTGAACACTGCACAATTGTTTATTTTCTTGAATCCCACTGTATCTCTGATACAAATATTTACAGGGTAACCAATAAAGGATGAGTCGACTTTACAGATTGCTTGCATTTTTATTTTTATTTGAAATTATTTGAATATGTTGAAAGTAATTTAACTTTATTTCGTTGCACAACCATTATTAGATTTAATGATCATTCTTTGTGAATAACCATTTATCAAAGTCAATGTCAGCTGACTCAATTGGATGCTGCTGGGGGCGTCCATTTTGTTTTTATTTTATGATCAGCTGTTGAATCAGCTGCTAAAATCCCAATTTTTTCTTGTTTGAACTCGCTTTTTACTCCTGAAAAAAAAACAATATTATCAAGACAAGAAACCAGTCAAAATATGTAGTTTTACAACTTTTAAGTTTTGCAAATGATACCTGTACGCAAGAATGTAATGCAAGGAAAGTTTATTGCAGTTGCGTATACTCTGCGTACATATTGAACCAGTTCTCTCTGGGCGAAATTTGTAAACAAGAATAGATGCATCAGTGTTCGTTTAGTATCCGAGGAGGATAAAAGCATTAAATTTTGATAATTTTAATAATTCACATAATAGTTTCCTATGACTAGAATATTTCATTGATTATTTATGTGAAAGATGGATCCCATGTCAGGCTTCGACATACGTTTTGTGTTTACATTACCGCCCAGTGGCAGTACACTGCAGTACAAAAGATGTGTACACCTCTGAAATAACTTTCCTTGCATTAAATCCTTACCTGTACGTAAATATACGGCAGAGATTTATATCTTATTGAAATAAATACTAAAATTGACGATAAACTATTACACCTCTTGTCCAAGCTGTACTGTCAGAAGTAAATTATTTTTTAAATTTTTAAAAATCAATGAAAAAATGTAAAAAAATAACCTGGCACAAATTTTGATGGCTTGAAGATAACTGGAGTTGTTCGTCCTAAAAAATGTATTGTATGTAAATTGTACAATTCAAGTCTTACAAATTAAAAAGAAAGTTCCATATCCCATGGGACACAATGTAAACTGTGCAACTATGCCTGCATACCTTGCATATATTGAAGGGAGGCGGCAGCCCCACACATTTGTGAATGATTGATCGATTTGGTTTCAGATGACTCAAAGTTTCTAGATTCCACAGAATGGTTCCTGGTTTCTAAGTATTGGTGACTGCTTGTGCTCCTGGATTGGAAGTTATCCATCTGGTGACTAGATATGGTTTGCTGTTCCAATCTAGACAACTCTTCACCTGTTTTCTTCTCCCTATTTCAAAATATCATTAGTAATTTAAATACAGGGTGTCCCACGAAACATGACAGTTAGTAAATAGTTTATAATGTATTCTTCCATAATTCGTAAAGTTGTTTGATACCAAAGACAATAATAAAAATATTATGATAGTCATGTTATAGTAAAATTGATTTCAAGGTAAAATATATTTGAGCAAAAGAATTGTTTAACGAAATAGACTGCAAAAAGCCTTTAATATATAAAAGTATATGGACGACGACATTCATAAAAATTTACCTGGGACCCAATTTAGTGAAATTAAGCTACGTTGCTAAGCTGCCTACTGTCCGTTCATATTTGAACCACAGATGTGAAGTTACAGATTAAGGAAGAATTTGAATCAGTGATTCAAATTTGAATTGCATGATGGTATGCAGTTAAAATTCATTGAATATCTGTCTCTGTTAACATGTGGACATTTTTAAACTATGTAAAGGGTGTTCCAATAAACATGGGAATTGAATGGCGATTTCGATATTGTCTTTTTAAATAATTCCGTGATTTAGTATAGTGATACCTACTGATAAAGCTGTAATCTGTAAGATTTTCTTTTGCTATGTTTAAAATTTGTTTGTTATGTTTTAACTGCATAAAGTTGTACTAAGTAAAACAAGAAGATTATAGTATACTAACAGAGTAAACAATTGGTCGTCTTCACTGTTCATCTTGCAGAGTCCTTTAGACACATCTTTACAGCCATTTACCGTTTTCACAAAATAAACTCTAGCAGACATAATAAAATTATGGCTTTTGAAATCAGGTATTACAATGCTGATTCTTAACAAAGACGATCTCAAATTCGTCATAGAATTCCCATGTTTATTGGGACACTAAACTATACTATATTCTTTTACTATATTTTAAATATAAAGAAGAAACAAGACTAAGTTAAAGTGTGTTGACTGTTGACAAGAAGAGAGTAATAGCTGCAAAGCCAGGTACCAGATTTAATGAATTTCAAGAAGTCGGTGAACTTCAAAGAGATGGTTCAAACAAGTATCTTTTAATTGAACTTTGAATCAGTGATTCAAGACTTACACTTGAGAGATAGTTGAATGGGTGAAAGGAAATTTAGCAACCTCTCTCCAATTCATTAAATTCCATCTCAGAATGCTGTTTGTTATATTTTGTACAGCACAGCTAAATTTTTCAACCTAAAAAAGTGTATTTCGAAGTTCATGATTAAATTCATTTCATACCCTTTTTCTAGAGCTTGAGGACTGAGTTGCCATTTGGGAGCTATGTAGGCTGTGGACACAGTGAATCCTAGAAATTGTACAAATTGTATGGAATTTGTCTTTCATTTAATCTTTTATGACTTTTTATGTTTTTTAGTGACTTCAGTATAACTTTTGTTTAAACAAACCGTAACTTCATAGCTTAAGTAACTTGGTTTTTAAATATATGCCTTGACCTGATTCAGAAGGAGTTCTTGGTCTGGGTATTTGGGAAGAACTAGCTTGCTCATACTCTTGAAATCTAAGAATGTAAATTTAAGATTTTGAGAGAGAATAGATTTTCTAATCTTACTTTGCAGCTAGTTGTTTGACAGATCCTCTTCTTTTCAGATTTGTGTTTGATGTTGACGTTGTTGATTCTATTGATTTAGTTTCTGAGAACTTAGTGATAGTTTCAGATAAGCTGGAAATTGTAATATTGTTTACAGTGGCGTTTTCAACAGATTGTTGGCTGCTGGCAGTCTCAAAGATATTATGATGAGAAGTACCATGATTTGTTGTGGCACTGGTAGATATGGTCCCTCGCCTTGATAAGGTTTCTGTGTCTGCCTCATAACCATCCATGGAGAAACTCTGCTTGGCTAGCTTTGGTGATCGGCTTTTTTCAAGCTTTGGCGATCTGCTTGCTTCTAGTTTTGGTGATTTGCTGAGTTTCGGAGACCTGCTTTTTTCTAGCTTTCTAACTTTTTCCATATTATCCTGCAATAATAATAATTTATGACCAACGCTTTATCTATTTCTTTTTCTTGTGCATTTTAAAGGAATAAGGTAAGGGATTCAATCAATTTGAGAAAAAATGTTATCAGGTGAACTTTTTAGTGCGTTATTTTAAAACCATGCCTTTTTTAAAGTTTTAACAAACCTCATCTTCCATAAACCCTGTATCTCCAAGATTCTGATCAAGATCCGTATCATCATCTGTGTAGTCAGGTTGACCCCGGAATCCAAGGTGGAGTCCAGGAGATTTCAACTCCTCCCCAGACCAAGGCTCAACTGTAGTATCTCTTTCACCAAAGCTTACAGACTCTAAATCAGAAACATTTAAAAAGTGGAACAATTTTGCTAAAGGGCTAAAATTTTGGGCGTCATTTATAAAAAAAATCCATAATGGTCCTTTTAAGACTGTAATCAGGTATTGCTAAAATGTATTTCTACCTAGTGGTGGTGGACTAGTGATAGTGGTGGTTCTAAAGCTGGAGCAGGTATCACTTTTATACACTTGTATTGGAGGAGGGGGTCGAGCTGGTGGGTCATCCTCACTTAACCCAGATTCAGACCTAATCAAAACCAAGAACAACAATCATGTTCCTTTCTGAATCAATCAAACAATAAAATTTATTCTGTAGAATCAATCAATCAATGTTTTACCAGAAAGTATGAAACATTTTAGATAAGCATATTAAATAACTTTGAAACTTTTCATAATTTACCTGTAATACGTTTTTGAGGATCTGCCCCTGTTTGAATACTCCAAGGTAGAACAAGTTGATGATGTTTCTAACCCAGAGGAAACCTATCAAGAAACTGGTGAAATGTTCAATTATTTAACGCAATAGAATTATTATTTCATATCAAGATCATTCCATTGTACTTGATGTTGGAGGCTGTATCATATTAATAATTTCTAACAAGACAAATAATTATTAAAGAGAGGAACATCTGACCTTATATGAGATATCTCTAAGTCTAGAAACTGACTCAGTATCTGTACTGGTATCTGGAGGTCTATACATAGGAGGTGGTTGCTCACTTAACCTCCTGCTAAAGCATGGAGACTGCTGCAATGACCTAGATATTGCCCAGTTAATTAGAAATTGAAATTACAGGTTGATTATTATGTAAAAAGATCTTCCATCAGTGATCTGAAAATACCTGCAAGTAGTTATTGGACTCCATAGACTTCCCCTTCCAGGTTCTGTGGAGGAACTTCGGGCAAAGGAATTTTTCCTGAAGTTCAAGGAATATGTAAACAATACACTTAGGATTTCCAGCAAATAAAAACTCTCATTAAAAACGCGAAATTTAGCGTAAATTTTCTTTCAGATTTGCAAACTTTTTTGCAAAATTTTGCATTTTCCAAAAATTAATTTGTTAAAGGAAGCAAAGATAATGCAGAATTTTGTGCTAAAGAACAAAATATGAGAATTTTTGCAAATTTTTTCAGCTTTTGTTTTTTATTCAAAATTTTTTAATATGTGAAAAAGATTACCTCAAAATTTCAGGAAAATAGCTAAACTGTTAAAAGTTTTTTTTTCCAATGGAAAACAAAAAGGTAATGTTAAAGGATTGTTAAGTGCTGTTTAGTTATGACCTTGATGTTGCTCTGGAGCCAGGTCTTGATCCTGGTGGGGTGGGTGTTGGTAGAATCCTTACAGCTCCAGGTATAGTTTCAGGACGTATGCTGCCTGAGTAATCAGAATAGTCCTCTACAAAAACAAATACTTTTCAAAAACTAAGTATAAGACAATAAGATGATTCTAAAACAATGTGGAAGGAAAATCTAAGAAATTTAGCACTTTTATGTCAGACAATTGGGGTGCCAACCTGAACCACTATTTTTTAGAGAAGGAAATGAGATAAATATTGGCTGTTTTACCTACATTTTCTAAACATCCATTGGGTTGAAATTATAATATGTTAACAATTTGATTTGTTCCTAAAGATTGTCTAATCATGTCTTCCTCAACTTTCTGCTCAAAATGTTTCACTTTCTCTCGAACCCTGAATTAGATTTGATTTTCTATCAATTGTACGTTTTGCTAAACAGTCAAGGTAATTGAAAATTTTCTGGTAAAACACTTTAGACTTTAGACTTCAGGTATATAAAAATACCTTCAAGCAGAAACAAATTTAAAACCTGATATACTCTGTAGACTGAATTGTGGTCTGTACAGTTGATTGTGATGTCTCAGACTCAGCACTTTTACTTGGGGAGAGAACACCTCTGACAGGCGAAGGTGAAAGGGCGCTTGTCTTTTGCTTTGGAGGAATGGGTGGGGGCGTTGTTCTTTCAGTGGCTTCAGAGGGCGTAGACATCATGGATCTACAAGCTTCAAGGACAATAGCAGGAGATTTGATAATGCTGGAGTGCTTGGTGGTAGCTTCATAATAGACCTAAATAAGCAATTTTATCTCATTACAAAGATTATCATTTACAATTCCCATTCAACCTTAATCTGCATATTTGTTTTGAGATGTGTTCATTTTCTATCTGATAATCTGTTTGAGCTTAGAAAAAGGAAAAAATGACGATTTGAAGGGTACTGTTTGAATCTTTGAAGGACAAAGACATTGGAAAATTTCTTTAAGGGATACCTTATCAGTTTCCTCTTTCTTTTTTTGTTGATCTATCTTGCGCTCTGAACTGTATATTTGGGAAGCCCATTGTCTCACTTCTTCAGTAACTTGTTCAGTAACCTGTTTGTTTACATGATTAGTAATGTTATATGAGAACTTTTTGTAGACGGGAGATTTTTGATCCAAAAATCTTGAATTTTCTGATAATTTTGGAACATTTGCACTTCTTTTCTGATTTTGGAGATTTTCATTGTTCATTTTAAGTATCTCTTCCTTGTTCTTGCTCTTCTGCTCAGTTGTAGGCAACTCCTTGTTCTGGTGACTCTCTCTTTTTTGCGATGTAAATGTGGTTTCAGTCGTCTTATTTTCCAACTCTTGGCTAAGTTTCTCCATTCTAATGGTCCTTGCACTGATGCTCTTCTTAGTCTTAAGCTCCTTCTCCAACTGGTCTACCTCATCATGGGTCTCCCATCTGTGTGGGCATGGTGGAGACGGTTTACGTTCTGGTTTTGCTCGAGGATGTTGAATGATAGGCTGAACCCTTCGGAAATTGAAATCCTTTTCTTCTGAGTCACTATGGCATGGTTTCCAGATGACTGGTATTCGAGATTCATAATCACTTTCATAATCAGAATGATACATTTCTCCTAAATAACAATATTATTGACAAATTTTAGATTTACACTCAAGATGCAATTTAACTAAACCTTTGATGAACTTTGATGGCTTAGGGACCTTCCCAGCATTTTTTCTTGGCATAGAGGTGCTAGGCTCAGCATGGAAGGGAAAAGGCAGAAGGTCAGGCAGAGGTCTAAATGAAAAAATATTTATAATCCATATGATTTGCAACAATTAATTATTGTTCTTAGAGAAAATATGCATTAATTGTGTTGTACAAATAAATGAAATAGATAAAATTTAAAAACCAAAGGAAATGTCATCAAACAAAGTTATTATTAATTTAATAAAAAAATTGCAATTGAATTGAAAAAAAAGTTGAAGAAAATCTGTGTCCTTATCTTCAACATTGATTTAAATCTCATCATTTTCTGCATTACAATAACAGCAATAATTATTATGATCCTGAATACCTTTGGTGTCTTCGGTGAGCTGCTAAGGTTCTTAGCGTAGATGTTTCTGAACCAATTTCTCGAACTTAAAAAAGTATGTCTCATAATCAGAATAATTATAATTTATGGAAATATAATGTTGTGGCATAACAACTTTTACAAAATGAAAAATTATTATACCTGAAGTTGAGGAACGAGGACGAGGTGACACAGACCTATAAATAATTCAGACAGATTAAAATAAACCTAAAAATCAAAAAAAAGCTAAAATGACAAGAAAATTGACAGGATCACATACACAGTTAGCTTGATAATGATATTGTATTTGATCTACCTGGAGAATCCTTGATCAGATTCTGTTAGCTCCTCCATCTTAGGTTCTGGAGGTCTAGGAGGTGCTTCCTCATCTGACAAATTAAAAGTGGCATTCATTGATGGGTTATCCAATTTCTTTCAGATTGAACCTAACCCTTGCAGAACCTGAAGCTGTTAAGCTTTTTGAAATCAAGGGCGGATATGCTAGGTGGGATATGCTAACTAAAAGTGTATAAGGCAATTAAGTTGGATCAATTACATACGGAATAATAGTTCTGTAAACTTTTGGCAACATATCATACCTAGCTCTTTGAAGCATCAAGGAGGAATATATTTTTTTAATGGATTAGAACAAGTTCTGTTTAAAAAGTCTTTAATCTTCATCTTTCTTAAAAACTTCAGATAAAATGCTATAAGGTCTTTAGGTATGTAAATCTATCTGGAATAAATAGGAAACTGTAATCATTAATTTATCATTTTCGGAATAAAGTGACCATACAAATCAACTAATCCAGATCTAACCTTGGAAGACTGCAATATCTGCAGCAGAAACAGTTTCTCCAGCAGAGTTTACTGCTTTCACACTGTAGGTTCCACTGTCTGCCTCCTGAAAAGATAAAATAATTACCAGCAAGTAGGGTTGTTAATCCTTTTGTAAACAATCGTTAAATGATCATTTTTTTGTTTCATTTCTGATTGTTTTCAAAAACGATCGTTTTGTTTTTGGAAAAAATTATTGCTTTTTAAAACAACCCACTTGTTTTGAACTTTTAAAAAACGAATAACGATAATTTTTAAAACGATCGTTTTTTACGATTGTTTAAAAAACCTATCCTTTTTGAATTTTTTTTATTGAGAAATATGTTAATGATTGTTAACAAAGGGTCGTCGTTAACAATTGTTAAACACAACAAACTTCATAATAACGATAGTTTTTGAAAAAAAATTACGTGCATTACTTTACGGAATGTCGTCTTACATGGAGGTAAAAAGTTGTGGGGGAGCTAAAATTTCTTGATATTTTCTTTAAAACTGCTCAATGATAAGTACTTATGCCCTTCAGGGAGGTTTCCTCTCTCCTCTTTTCTTCGTTAAGGAAACGACGAGCTTTAAAAAAACGATCATTTTGCAAAACGATCGTTTCAAAAAAGAAATTCTTAAAAAAACGAACTTTTCGTTTATTTGTCGTTGTTTTCATAACAAAGCGATGGTTAAAAAAAATAAAAGCATTACCATCCCTACCAGCAACTTAGCAAGTATAAGAGCTCGGCTAGTGCTTAGCCACATCAACTGGATATCCAAAAGGTAATCTTATAAATTAAGGGGGCTTAACATTTTGAGAACCGTCTATAATGCTTGTACATGGTTTATCACTTTAAATTGTGCATTAATTGTTTTCCAGTTAACAACAAGAGTTGCATTGGAAACAGCTACTGCCAAGACTAATTTTAATAAAGCTTACCTGGATATCTTTGATGCTGATGGAGTATATGAGCCCTTCATGACACATCTGAATTCTAGAATATTCAACCATTATTTACATAAAGTTTTATGTGTATTCTTAAAGGGAGTAACCGGCTATGTAAGGAAGTTGAACTGAGTACGCAGTGTTGTCGAAAACTTCTTTCGGATTCATTTGAGACATATTACACTTTTTGAAGATCGGTAAATCCTGAGTTTGAGTGCAAAGCCGACGTTCAATACTCCTACTTTGGGGGTGGATACGCTTTCAGAATTAGTTTTTTTAAATTATTAATTAACGACGACATAAAATGTAAAAATATTCTACAATAAACTACAGACGTCATGTTTAGGAACATTTTGAGAAAATAAAAATTAATCTTATCATCGAAAATAAGTAATCTTGTTCAATTATTAGTTTCTATTTTATCATTATTATGGTTATTGAAAAGACGACATTTAAAGAATGTGAAGAAATTGCGAAGAAATTCGAAGAAAATTAGAAATTCAATATAATAATGAAAACGAAATAATCAATTTTAGCATTGATTTATTGACAAATTTCTTTTGTGAAACATGTTCCTAGCCATCTAATTAGATTACTTAATAATTTTTACTTTATTTTTCGTTGTCGTTGTTTAATAATTTAAAAAAAAACGAATTCTGAAAACATATCCACCCCCAAAGTAAGAGTTTTGAATGTCGACTTTGCGCTGAAACTCAGGATTTACAGATCTTTAAAAAGTTTAATATGTCTCAAATATCCGAAAGAAGTTGTCCACAAAACTGCATACTCAGTTCAACTACCTTACATAGCCGGTCACTCCCTTTAAGAAAAAATGAGGAAGTTTAGTTGTCATATTGTAGAAAAGAAAAAAGAAATGAACTTGTAAATAAAGAAATATATTTATTTTCCCGGTTACTTTGGAAATTTTTTGGATGAGTCGGCACTCATCAGAAGATTTTTAATATAACTAACCTATCTGAAGGTTGAAGGGTTCCTGCTAACTAACCTATCTGAAGGTTGAAGGGTTCCTGCTAACTAACCTATCTGAAGGTTAAAGGGTTCCTCCCAGCTAAACTATCTGAAGGTTGAAGGGTTCCTGCTTACTAACCTATCTTAAGGTTGAAGGGTTCCTGCTAACCAACCTATCTGAAGGTTGAAGGGTTCCTGCTAACCAACCTATCTGAAGGTTGAAGGGTTCCTGCTATCTAACCTATCTAAAGGTTGAAGGGTTCCTGTTTACTAACCTATCTGAAGGTTGAAGGGTTCCTACTAACTAACCTATCTGAAGGTTGAAGGGTTCCTCCTAGTTAACCTATCTGAAGGTTGAAGGGTTCCTGCTTACTAACCTATCTGAAGGTTGAAGGGTTCCTGCTTACTAACCTATCTGAAGGTTGAAGGGTTCCTGCTAACTAACCTATCTGAAGAATGAAGGGTCCCTGCTAACTAACCTATCTGTAGGTTAAAGGGTTCCTGCTAACTAACCTATCTGAAGGTTGAAGGGTTCCTGCTAACCAACCTATCTGAAGGTTGAAGGGTTCCTGCTAGCTAACCTATCTGAAGGGTTCCTGCTAACTAACCTATCTGTAGGTTGAAGGGTTCCTGCTAACTAACCTATCTGAAGGTTGAAGGGTAGTATTATTAAATAACCAAGTGACTGAAGGGGCAGGAGTTCCTCCAATCTCAACCTCCATACGGAGTTTATGTCCAACCAACAGTGTCTGGGACTGCAACCTAGAAGATAAATGGTAATGATGGGACCAGATATTTAAGGCTGGAGACTGTAAGCGTAATTTTAAATGACCCTTTATGGATAAACAGCAATGTCTGATTTACAACAATACTCCTGAAACCTAAATCTCATCAAAACTGTGGAAGATAACATCGTTTTTTTACTTAAAAAGAAGATAATTCTTAAGTATTTCTTAGAAGCAAGAAATACGCAATTCACTCTTGCAGAGAAATCACAAATAAAATAAAACAGAGTTCTAATTCATACTTGAGCAGACAAAGCTTTTTTAAAGGTATCGTTGTAAATCGGACAGTGGTGTCTTTAAAGAAATATGATCATTAAATGGAATGATTTTTTTCGCAAGGGATTATCGATCACAAGGACTACCATTAAAATGTTTGCCACTTTTTAAACTCAGTTCATTAATATTAATAAATAAATAAACATCAACCTTTATTCCCTAGAAACAAAACAAAAAATTTGAACCTTTTCAAAAATACAGGAGAAAGATTTTTCCTGCGAACAGCTAAATCCGCCAAACTCTCCGCTGTACCAGATCTGTTACTTGCTGTACAACTGTACATACCACTATCTTCTTCTCTAGCCTGTACAGATTTTTATTATTATTATTATTATTATTATTATTATTATTATTATTATTATTATTATTATTATTATTATTATTATTATATGACCCTGACCCTGATTCTGACCATTACCTTTAACCTAGTCTGGCGTGACCTTGATTAGGATGAATTGTCCTTTCACAAAATTTATTCTGACCTTAATCTTGACCTTGATCTTGACCTTGACCTTGATCTTGAAGTTGACCTTGACCTTGATTATAACCTTGACCATGACCTTTATCTTGACCTTGACCTTGATCTTGAAGTTGACCTTGACCTTGATTCTAACCTTGACCATGACCTTGATCTTGACCTTGACCTTGACCTTGACTTTATCTACCTAATGTTGGTGAAGGGAAACCATCCACAATTCCTTCAAATGAAACCCTGGCTCCAACCTCAACTAAGCATCCTTAACAACCAAAAACGAATAGAAAAAATATTTTTTAAAACTGCAAGTTTTTAAATTACCACAAATCCTTCTTTGTTTATGTAAGAGAAACCTGCATGTCTGTTTATTTAGAGATAAACCCAAATTTTTAAAAGTTTAAACATGGATATCACTTAAAATATTGTATACTGTCCTATAAATAAATATTTTCTGACCTAGAATGGGTTGAATAAATCTTGGTTCTTTATCTTCTCGTCTCCTGTTCTTTGACTCGGAAAAATACGATGAACGCGTTTCAGAAACCTAGAGTAAACCTAGAGTAAACCTAGAGTAAACCTAGATTAAACCTAGAGTAAACCTAGAGTAAACCTAGA